GGTAGTGTAGGATCAAAGGGAAGAGACAATTCAGGAGAGAAGGAAGATTTGGAAGGCATCCACTGCAAAAAGGAAAGAAATGAGTGTGCTCCCAAAATGCCTCCTATATCCCTTTTTTAGAAAATGGAGGCACTTTCCACACAGTTGAAGTTGAAATCCCACATTTTCTGCTTTGAACTGGAACATAAGGCAGTGTGGACTCAAATAACTCAGTTCAAAGCAGATATTGTGGGATTATCTGCCTTCATATTCTGGGTTATATGGCTGTGTGGAAGGGCCCTAATACCAACCACTTCTTTCTTCTGCACTGTACATTATCCAGGCGGAGGCCACTAGGGCCTGCTAGGGGAAGAAGAATGCTTCATTTTATGAAGGGGGGGGGGAGTTGAAAGAGGAAAAATGTTTTTCCTGTTTTCACTTATTATTTCCCCCTCCCTCCTTCCCATATAAGAAAGGACGGTTGTTTCCACAATGGGGACATGGGTCGGGGAATAACAGGAAAACTCCTTAAACCCACTGTCCCGCTTCATAATATGAAGTATCCTTCTCTCTCTAGCCCTCCCTAGTGGCCTCTGCATGGATAATAGGATAATACATTTTCTTCTCTGAGTTCCTCCCCACTCATTTCCATCCTCACTGAATTAATTCTACATGCATCTACACATAAAATTAATGCACTTTGACATAACTTTAACTGTCATGACCAAAAGCTATGGAATCATAGGAGATGGAGTTTTACAAGGTCTTAAACCTTCTCTGCCATAGTGCAGGTGACTCATCACACAACGACTCCCAGAATTCCATAGCACTGAGTCACAGCAGTTAAAGTCGGGTCAAACTGCCTTAATTCTATGTGTAGATGCACCTCAAGACAGATGGGAAAAGGAAGGGTAGAGTTAGACTGGAGCATTATAAAAGCAGGCAATACTGTAGATTATTAATCTAGTGTATCCCTTCTAAATTGGGACTTGGAGAATAGGTCACTTCATTAAACTCATATAGATTGTGAGACTTGTGGTTCACATGTCAGTGCTCCCCGTGAATCTCCCTGAATGGTACAGAATGATCCTCCGGTGGTGCAATGGGTTAAACCCTTGTGCTGGCAGGACTGAAGACTGACAGTTCGGAGGTTTGAATCCTAGGAAAGCATGGATGAGCTCCCTCTGTCAGCTCCAGCTTCCCACGCAGGGACATGAGAGAAGCCTGGATGGTAAAACATCAAACCATCCAGGCATCCTCTGGGCAATGTCCTTGCAGACTGTCAATTCTTTCACCCCAAAAGCAACTTACAGTTTTTCAAGTTGCTTCTGACATGGAAAAATAATCCCGAATGGTTCCTGGTTCCTGACATAAAATGAAAAAATAGCCTTAAATGAAAGATTAAAACCCCAAGCCCCCAGAGCCCATTTTTGGTAATCCAATTGTGATTTTTTTTTGTTTCTTTCCTCCCACTCCAAGAATTGAGATGAGTTGCTATAGTAAGGAAGAGTGCAAACACATCTTTTCAACCTTGCCTTTTCACTTGTTTAAATTTTAATTTAAAAAATTAAAACCATTAAAATTAGTAATTGATAACAATGATTTTAATTTTAGTGATCATTTTAATTTTAGCTATAATTTAAATGGTTTTATTGTTCAGTTAATTTTTAATGATGTTATTTGGCTCCTTGAGTACTTTTTTTGTGGAAAGACAAGATAAAAAATGGAACAATAAAATTATAGAACTATAGAATTCTGTGATGGCCATCTAGGAAGACAGAAGGGCATCTGGAAAGTTAGCTTGGAGAAGGTCGAGAGAGGACATGATAGCAATGTTTAAATAGTGTATTTGCAAGGATGTCACATGGACAAGCTTGTTTTCTGCTGTTGTAGAGACTACAATGGGGAGCAATGGATTCAAGTTGCAGCAAAAAGATATTCCATCTAAGCATTAGGAAGAGCTTCCTGATGGTAAGAACAGTTTGGAAGTGGAATATGTTGCCTTGGGGAGTATGGTGGAGTCTCCCTCAATGGAGGTTTTTGAACAGAGACTGGATGTCCACCTATCAGGAATGCTTTGAATGTGCTTTTCCTGCATGCCAGGGGTTTGAATTGGATGGTACCTTGTGGTCTCTTCCAACTCTGTTATTATTGTCTAAGTTATTCCTAATGTTTAGTGGAATCTCCTAAAGGAAACTTTTTCAAGCTTCATGTGCTGTAACAGCTGAAGCTTGAAAAAGCTGTTGTTGCTTTAAGTTATTACCTTACTGCATTTTAGTTACTGCATTATTGCTATAAGGAGATGGTTACTTCAACAGACCATAGCACTTCCCCTGAGCATCTATACTGCTGCTACCCTTTTGCTTTGCTTTCTTTCTATTTTTTAAGTACTTACAACTCAGGCCCCTTCTACACTGCCATATAATCCAGATTATGAAAACAAATAATCAACTATGAGTCTACACTACCATATAAAACAGTCCAAATCAGATAATCTGGATTTTATATGGTAGTGTAGAAGGAGCCTCAGAAGGCAGTCTTGAATGTGTTTGGGCAGCAGCTCATAATATCTCCAAATCTAAAAGACATGTTGAAAGTAGTTGATGTAGGACCCTTCTACACTGCCATATAAAATCCAGATTATCTGGTTTGAACTGGATTATATGGCGTATAATCCAGTTCGAAGCATATAATGTGGAGTATCTGCTTTGATTTTTTTTTTGTCGTGTCAGGAGCGACTTGAAAAACTGCAAGTCATTTCTGGTGTGACAGAATTGGCCGTCTGCAAGGACATTGCCCAGGGGGCGCCCAGATGATTTGATGTTTTTATCAACCTTGAGGGAGGCTTCTCTCATGTCCCCACATGAGGAGCTGGAGCTGATAGAGGGAGCTCATCCGCCTCTCCCCGGATTTGAACCTGCTACCTGTCGGTCTTCAGTCCTGCCGGCACAGGGGTTTAACCCACTGTGCCACCGGGGGCTCCATCTGCTTCGATAATCTGGATTATATGGCAGTGTGGAAGGGTCTTTATATTCCTAAAGCATAGTGTGGTGTGACTTTGGGCAAGCCACTATCTCTCAACCCCAGAAGAAGACAATTGCAATCTTCTTCTGAATAAATCTTGCCAAGAAAACTCTGTGAAAGAGCCTTAAACTGGCTCTCAAGACTCAGCGTCATGATAAACTGGAAGTATAGAAGGCACACAACAACAAATGGTGCTGTGTTCCTGCCAGTGACAGCATGGTCACTAGCAAGAATGCATGGAGTGCATGGTCACCCAAACTAAAGCTAGTTGATTTCTCTTTTTAAAAGGTTTTTTTTCTTATATTTAAAAGCTTGTTGATTCCAATGAATCTTACTCTTAGTATGTGTACATAGGGTTGTAGCCTATGTAGCCAAGACCAATTAAATATATCAATCCAGTTAATTCTGTTTACTCCACAATTTTTAAGAGTCACAGCAGTCAGGATGTCTTGTTTTATACAGATGGTGGGGGGTACATGGACAAGAAGACACATTTGCACTCTCACTTTTGAAACCCAAGGCTATTGTAACAATTCTGGATCAAAATGGTCCTCTGTGGATGCATCTACACTTTAGAATTAATGCAGTGCGATGCCACTTTAACTGACATGGCTCAGTGCCGTGGAGTCCTGAATGTTGCTGTTTGGTGAATGTTGCTGTTTGGTGAGCCATCGGTCCTCTTTGGCAGAGAAGGCTTAAGACCTGGTAAAATGACAACTCCCACTATTCTATAGCACTGGGGGCCCCTCCACATAGCTTAATAAAATCCCACATTTTCTGCTTTGAACTGGAATACATGGCAATGTTGATTTTGGGCCCTTCCACACAGCCATAAAACCCAGAATATCAAGGCCAGAAAATCCCACAATATCTGCTTTGAACTGGGTTATCTGAGTCCACACTCCGATAATGTGGGGTTTTCTGCCTTGATATTCTGGGATACAGGGCTGAGTGGAAAGGCCCTGTGTCTACACTGTCATATATTCCAATTTAAGACAGATAATATGGGTTTTTCTGCCATGATATTCGGAGATATAGGACTGTGTGGGAAGGGCCCTCAGATAATCCAGACGAGGGCCCTGCTTTGAACTGGGTTATCTGAGTCCACACACAGATAATGTGGGATTACTTGCCTTGATATTCTGAGATATAGGGCTGAGTGGAAGGGCCCTGTGTCTACACTGCCATATATTCCAGTTCAAGGCAGATAATGCTGGTCACAGAGGACTGAGCAACTTGGAAGGCACTGAACAGACTGCGCTCTGGCACCACAAGATGCAGAGCCAACCTTCAGAAATGGGGCTACAAAGTGGAATCCATCGACATGCGAGTGTGGAGAGGAGCAAACCACTGACCACCTGCTGCAATGCAACCTGAGCCCTGCCACATGCACAATGGAGGACCTTCTTGCAGCAACACCAGAAGCACTCCAAGTGGCCAGATACTGGTCAAAGGACATTTAATCAACTACCAAACTCACAAATTTTGTATTTTGTCTGTTTGTTTGCTTTGTTCTGTTAGAAATGTAATATAATTGACTGGTTGTCCTGACACGACAAATAAAGGCAGATAATGTGGGATTTTCTGCCATGATATTCTGGGATGTAGGGCTGTGTGGAAGGGCCCTCAGACAAGGGCCCTTCCACACAGCCTTATATCCCAGAATATCAAGGCAGAAAACCCCACAATATCTGCTTTGAACTGGCTTATCTGAGTCCACACTCAGATAATTTGGGATTTCCTGCCTTGATATTCTGGGATATATGGCCGTGCGGAAGGACCCTCAGATTACCTAGCTTCTTATGGGATTTCCTGCCTTGATATTCTGGGATATAGGGCTGGTTGAAAGGGCCCTCAGAGTGGAAGGATGAAACCTTAGACAAGTATGAGCCTCTTGCTTTAATTTCCACTCTGCTTTGTGGCTGTCTTCCTGATGAGAAGTAAATGGCGCTTCAAACTTTTCCCCCCCTTTCTCTGCCGTTCTTCTCTTCCCGACCGAGATGTCAACAGTCACGCGTGGCGTTTCCCACTCCTGGATGGAATGCAGCCAGGTCATGATGGCAAGAGCAACGGGGAGACTGGAGAGCCAGTCCTTCGGGGCGGCCAGTCAGTCCCCCGGCCACGCGGCGCCTGAGGCTGATGCCTGATTTCTCCGCCTTTGCCGCCGGGGCGCCTTTCGCGCGTGTAAAGCCCACACTGCGCCGCCTGGGTGACATCACAGCCGCTTCTAGTCCTTGAGAAGCGGGAGGATGATTAGCTGAAGGAATTGGCCGCTTCTGCCAATCATAATCCTCCAAAGCCGGCTTCGTAGTTCTATCGGCATTCTGCCGAAGGGAGGAAGGGAAGAGGCGAAGCAGCCGGTCCTCCTCGGGTGATGAAGTAGTTCTCCTCCCTCGCCTCCTCTTCTTTTGCTCTTCGGTGACTGCTGGGCTTGTCCGAGAAGCAAGCCGCTTTCCAACGGAGGCTTGAATCCTTCCAGCTGGGAAGGGTTAAAGAGAGAGAGAGAGAGGGAAAGAGAGAGAGAGGAGGACCGTGTGTATACATAAAAATGTGACCGCCGCTCCCACGGAGTCCAGTGGAGAAGGCAGCGCAGCAGGAGGCGTCTTCTTGGGATGCTATGCAAGCAGTGGGCATGAGGTGGGCAGAAAAGGCAGAGGGAAAGTCCTGCCTTGCCCGGGGCTGAAGCACAACACTCTCCGGAAGAGACACGTCCCATGGACTTGCCAAGAACATCTCTTTGGGTAAGCTGATTCCCTCCGTGGGGCTTAGGAGGAGCCTTTTCTGGGCTATTTGCATACATCTGTGTGGAATGCACCCAGTTCTGTGAAGGTTGATAACCTATGTAGGCAGGGCAGAGCAAAACAGGAGATGTAGTCCATAACTGACAAGGTGTGCTCTCCATTTCTTAAGTTTCAGAGGCATAGAGTCCCCATTATACTGTCAGTGTAAATATCTTTCCATTGATTGATGTCAGTCTTAGCTAGATTGGAAAGGTAGCCCTAAATGGGTGAGAGGGAGTCACAGGGCAATATTAAGTTGATGCTCTTCTTCTGGAGTTGTACTTCATGCTCTCCACTTCCTGACATCTGTGCCTATAAAGCAGGCATGGGCAAACGTGGGCCCTCCAGGTGTTTTGGACTTCAACTCCCACCATTCCTAAGAGCCTCAGGCCCCTTACGCAGAAAATCACTCTGCAGGTGCTCAAAGGCACTGCCTCCATTGTCTCTTACTGGGAAAATACATTAAGGCAGCAGAAAGATATTCTGGAGATGCTCAGAGGCACTCACTCCAGTGGATCTTAGTGAGAAAAGACACTTAGGAAGCAGGAAGGCACTCTGCAGATGCTCAGAGGCACTGCCTCCAATGTCTCTTACTGGGAAAACACATTAAGACAGCAGGAAGACATTCTATAGATGCTCAGAGGCACTCTCTCCACTGGATCTTAGTGAGAAAAGACACTTAGGAAGCAGGAAGGCACTCTGCAGATGCTCAGAGGCATTGCCTCCATTGTCTCTTACTGGGAAAACACATTAAGACAGCAGGAAAACATTCTGTAGATGCTCAGAGGCACTCTCTCCACTGGATCTTAGTGAGAAAAGACACTTAGGAAGCAAGAAGGCACTTTGCAGATGCTTAGAGGCACTATCTCCAATGTCTCTCACTCAGAAAAGATGTTTAAGTGGCTGAGGGGGAAAAGGAAAGGGCCTGGGGCTCTTAGGAATGGTGGGAGTTGAAGTCCAAAACACCTGGAGGGCACAAGTTTGCCCATGCTTCCCATAAAGCCAAACACAAGCAAACTGGAAGGTTATGATTGCATAGGAAGATGTCAACTTCGTGCTCATCCCCTCGTACCTAATCTGGTAGGAGGCAAATGTGTCATGTTCCGCTGGTTTTGTAGCTGAACAGCATCCATCTGGGACATTTACGAGAGAGTGATTGTTCTCTGCTTGCAAGTACCAACTGCTTTCAATTGAAAGTGGGGGGATGTGAGGGAAAATGCAATAAGATATGATGAGAAAGTGCCCATTGCTACAGGATTGAAGCAAGAAGAACATAACATCCCTGCCGTTATATCTTTTGGCTTCAAGTTACTGCTGCCAGGAATACATACTCAAATGAAAGTTGTTCCTTGGAGTGAATCATATTATTCATCGGAGCCGGAAATCAATGTAAATCATCTGAAGGCAGCTATAACTATTTCGGTTCTATTTTTCCTATACAGTCTGCTTGTATGCCTTTTTGTGTGTGTCAGGAGCAACTTGAGAAACTGCAAGTCGCTTCTGGTGTGAGAGAATTGGTCGTCTACAAGGACTTTGCCCTGGGGACACCCGGATGTTTTTTTAAAATGTTTTACCATCTTTGTGGGAGGCTTCTCTCATGTCACTGCATGGGGAGCTGGAGCTGACAGAGGGAGTTCATCCTAGCTCTCCCCAGATTTGAATCTCCAACCTGTCAGTCTTCGGTCCTATCGGCTCAAGGGTTTAACCCATTGTGCCACTGGGCACTCCTGTATACCTTATGAAGAGAAACCATAGTGGAAGACATTCTATTTTTAATTCTTATTCATTCTTATTATTAGCTATGCTTATGCCTACTCTGAAGTATACCTACTCTGTACCGATCCCAAGTAAGTTGGCAAAGATCAAAACTTTTGAGCTACTCTTCAAAGAATCTATGTTTGGAGGAGACTTACATTCCCAGCAAAAACAACCAATGAAAACTAGAATGTTTAGCTTGAAATTCTTTGATATTTCATTACATCCAAGCATCCTGTTCAGAGTGTGAGGCAGAGGAAAAGATGACTCTATTATTACAGAGTAGTTTTAGTGATGTGAGCGAACTGTGAAACAATAATTGGTAGCCCAATTTTCACTCAAGTCAGAGAAAGAACTGGGCTTTCAAATGTCTCTGAATGTTATCAGAAGAAAACCTCCCTGCATTTCACATGCTAAAGTGCTCTCTGGAAGCTTAACATTGTTCAGAAATGTTGAATATGTGTTTCAGAAGCTTGTGTCATTTCTGTTCTGAGCCTTGAAGGCACCCGTTGATTTTCTGCACATGTTTAATGCCTTATAGTCTTCAACAAGCAAAGGACTCCAGTCCCCATTCAGTGCCAACCTGGCAGAGAGTGAGCTCTTTCGGTAATGCTACTGAATAGTTCTGCTCTGTCTCATCAATTTGACAGAATAAAACAAAGCCTGTGAATTAGTTTTAAATATAAATAGCAACGGCTGAGTCACAAACCACTTGCTTGTCATTAACTCCTATCTCTCTATACAAATTATATACCAGTGCTTCTTAAAAGCCTGTAACTTTCGCAACTCTGATCAGTGCTTTGAGGTTGTCTAGGAGCAAGGATAATATGGGGATAAGTGGACAGTGTGGTCCTGAACATTGTGTGCCTATTCTGTGGTGTTCACAGAATCTTATTATACAGGATTTATGTATGGCAATGTAATGCAATGGCAATATAACCTATCTGACACATACTTCACTTGACAGGTCATAATTCCTGATCAGTGTCTCAACAGTAATGTGCTTTCTCTGAAAAATAAGAAGCTGCCTCCAATTGGAAGCCCTGTGTGTATTTCAGTACAAGACAGCTCAGGTTAGCTCTTGTGAAAGTTACCAAGATCTCAAGACTCTTTCAAGCAAGGATGTTATTTAGTCAGTGCACAGATGTGCATCATTGGCCATGTGTGTATACTGAGGCATACATAACTTCTCTTTGCTTGAGGACCCCATGGACAAGGGTTTACATACCTGCCTGTGCACATACCTACATGCACACACAGAGAGTATATACCAAATTGATATTTGGTATGTAAGAGAAAGGTTTGATCCCTTCCCATCCAAAAATCTGTATTGAGTAGTTTTGATGGGTTAGAGTTGAAGATAAACCCACCCCACATGTTCCAGGGATCACTGTGATGTGGAAAAGGCTTTCATGTGATTCCCACCTCAATAGTGGGGAAATTGCCTCCACAACCACAGCAATGTAGGCAAATATGGTCAATAGAGACCATTCTCCTGCACCAGTGAATCTCAATGGGAAAGAGGTGAAAAGATAGCAGTAACTTATTTCATGTATTGTCAAATGCTTTCATGGCTGGAACCACTGGGTTGTTGTGAGCTTTTGGGGCTGTAAGGCAATTTTCTAGAAGCATTCTCTCATCTGTATCTATGACAGGCACCCTCAGAGGTTGTGAGGTCTGCTGGAAACCTCACAACCTCTGAGGATGCCTGCCACAGATGCAGATGAAACATCAGGAAAGAATGCTTCTGGAACATGGCCTTACAATCCGGAAAACTCACAACAACCCAGTAACTTATTTAGTAGGCACTTTTTATTGAGTGTGGGATGTTCAGCAGGAAAAGTCTTTTGGTGTATGAATGTTACTCACAATTTGCATATAGACTACTTCTGATCAAGAGACAGCTACCATAAACACTTTGAAAACGATGTGTGTTTGTTTTAGATGGATTGGATTGTTTATGGCTGAAGTATTGCATCTAGAAGTAAGTCCACTTGAATTCACTGGGGGTTGACTTCCACACTGAGAGAGAGAGATGCCTAGGATTGCATTGCAAATTGCTCAGTTCTCTTTGGCAAAATCTCAACTATACCAATCTATTGAATCCACAGAATTTATGTAAGCATTAACTGATCTGCTTCCCACTGATTCTATGGGTTTCTTCTACATAGAACTTGGCACTGGATATAGGCCTTTTTGTATGGAACGGCTGGGAAATTACTGTTGAAAAGAACAGGCTTCTTTTAGTTTACATTCAATACTCTTAAAATTATTCCTACATCTAGGTCAATCAAATGCTAACTTCTGAGAAGCTTTCCAGAGAAAATGAGGAATCTGACACATCAAATGTTTTTAACATTACATAGAGATTAAAGCTAATAATTTTCTTTTAGAATTGGTATGCATCTTGTTTGCAGCTAAAGGATGGGAGAAATGACAAATGTATGTTCTGTTTTTTAAAACCAACCACAGAAATTCTATGAAATCATATGCATTTTATTCTGCCACATGGAAAGGATGCTTCAGAGAGATGGCTAAATTGGAATTAGAGTTTGGAAGTAACTCTTTTACTTCTAGAGGTAACAAAGAAGTGTGGAGTTTGAAAAATAAGAACAATAAAAAGAAATAACTATTATCATTGGCATTTTTTTCAAAGGTAGTACACCAGTACCATCGGTAAAATTATTTTACAACAAATTAGCTTTTCAAATAATATTTCTAAGCTCCAATTAAAATCCCTGTACAGCCTTGGATTCTTCAAGTAGCTCTAAATAATTTGCAGTCCCCATAAAGTGTGGTGTAAGGATGACACAGCTGGTGTATGTGGACTTCACACTAAAGCCAACTCATACATATTCCTTCCTTGAAATTGCATCTGGGGAGAAAATATGTTCTTGTAACATTTTATTGCATGCATGTTGATAATAGAACAGTTTGCTTCAGATATCTAGAATACAATGAGCTAAACTGCTTGGTAGCTCATTGATGGTTGAATGGTCATTTCTTCTATTTTCAAATGCTAAATGACCTTAGCTGACAAAATCTCAGAATATAGCAACTTTTTGGAAAGCATATCAAACCAGTATGGCTGCTGAAAATAATGTATTCTTGAGTGACTTACATGAAAACATTATGTAAAAATACCTATTATTTCTGAGTTTCATCTCAGAAGAGTTTCCATTTCATATTGGCAAACCTCTTTTCTG